CACACACTCTTTCTCTTCTGCTGCTTCACTTCCTGCATGTCAACAAACTATAATTATATATTTTGTAATTGTAACTTTATATTTTCTTTTTTATAAAAAGGAAAAAAAGATAACAAAAATAAAATAAAATATAAATATAAAAATGTTGTTATGATGTTATAAAATACAAATAAAATGATTAAATGATAAAACAAACACAGATGTGTGTAACAACTGCAGCAGCTGTTTGTTCATTTCATAGTAAAAAAGGGAAAAAGTCAACAGGTTGTTTTTTTTTTGTACAGCAGGTCCAAATTATTCAGCGATGGAGCTCAGCGCCGGCAGCAGCTGACAGGTGACCTTTAGAAATGAGACAGCTCGGCGATCAGATCGCTGTGACATCAGCTTCAGGATCGGGACGAGGAGGAGGAGAAGCTCCTCTGATTGGACAACAGGACAGGAAATACAATCACAAACTTAGTTTTTCTTCTTCTCCACTTTGTGTGAGTGTGTGTATCTGTAGCGTTTCGTCTATACAAACACCTGGATCAGTATCAAACAGTCTGTCTGAGTCCTCGTTGCTCGGCATGGAGCGAGATGATTGGCTGAGGGCGGGTCGGCCTCAGACAGTCACTTCCTGTTTGTCTGTTTAATCCAAAAGGTAAAAAGTCCATGAGTAGTCCTTCATCCTCAGAGCGGGTCAATCCGCTTACCCCCCGTAAAGGTTTGGTGCAGTCCACTGACGTGTCTTTGCTTTAATGGATGACCCCCACAAAGGGGTCAGAATGGTTTCCTCCTTTGACCCCTGCTGACGAGCCAGTTTAGACCAATACAGCTTTGGGGTCAATGAGTAGTTTGTGACCTTTGACCCCACAGACAGCATCCTTAGGCTCAGTCGTGTCCGCTGAGTAAGTCTGTCGGTGGGTGTGTCGGGGTCTTGTTGGGGGGCAGCGGCCGGGGCGGGGGCACAGGTTTGTGTTTGTACCGCTGCGGGCTCGCCATGCCCCCGTCGCTGTCAGCTCTGTCCGTCGGCATCGGGGGAGGGGGCGGCGGAAGGCGGGGCAGCGACATGGAGCCGTGGTGATAATGGAGATGATGGTGAGCGCTGTGGCGGGGGTGAAGGCCTGTCATCGACACTGAGGGCGGGACCCGGGAGCAGGAGGAGGCGGAGGAGGATGAGGAGGGTGGAGGGGGCGGGGGTGGGGTAAGCGTGGCCGGTCGCAGGCTCTGGATCCGCCGGCACTCCTGGCAGATGCGTACGTGACTGCAGGCCTGCAGGAAGCTGCGCGGGGGGGCGGGCGGAGCCACTAGGGCTGACGCAGGAGGGAGGGTGGTGGTAGAGGTTTTGGTGCCCAGCGGGTCCTCCAGGAGCCTCTGTGGCCCCGGGCCCAGATCGGGGCATCCTCCCATCCCGACCCCTGCCAACCCGCCCGTCATTGGGCCGGCGCCACTGTACAGTTTCCCGTTGCTGAGGCGCATCTCTCGAATCAGGCGGATGGGGCGGGGACCGGCCAGAGCCAGGCGGGATGGGTGACGTAGGACTCCGCCCCCAGTGCTGGTCAGGGGTCGGCG